GTGTGTGTGTGTGTGTGTGTGTGTGTGTGTGTGTGTGTGTGTGTGTGTGTGTGTGTGTGTGTGTATATGTATATATATATATTTATTTATTTATTTACTTATTTATTGGGGTGGTCAAAATGCATAAAATTTAGAGCATTTTAAATATTTTAGCATGTATGTTTATTTTTTGCAATATATGCAATCAAACAATACAGATCCAAGAAAAGAAGAAATTAGATTTCTAATTCAAAATATGTTTCGGCCTAGATCCAATGCTATACACCATTTGTACACTATAATAATATTTTTATAATGAATTAAGATTTAGTTTAAGTTATAAAATTGTTATTACTATCATAAAGTTAGTATCCAGATCTAGACCTAGGCCTACTAATAAGCTGGTGTAATATACTTGGGAGACAGGTAGAATATTAGATCCATAAATATTTAATTAATTTTATGAAAATAAGCAGAAATAAAAATATTCATAATCCTGTTCACCTTAGGTTTTCTCTTTCAAACTTTCAAGGGATCTTGGTGCCAAACCAAATATTGTTAAGTACCTTGACATTGTTTTTCAATGTTTAAAAGTTCTGTCTACTTAACTATGTGGAAATATCAAGAAAAACATGATAGAAACCTCCAATGAAGTTATCCATAGGTCGAGGCTTTGTGCAAGTACCTGAATTATCTTTAGGACTACAATTTGTCACTGTCACTGATTGCTGATCAGGATTAGATATAGGCCTATTGAAGAAATCTTTAAATGTAACAGTTATTCCACTTTTTTATATTTCCTTAATAACTACATATTCTTGATGTGTTTTGGCTATTTTTTAATGCAATTTTGCCCCTCCTGCTTATGTCCAATGTTCTTTTACAAAATTTGAAAAATTATTTGTGTTTAATGGGTTCACAGCATTAAACCCACTCACTGTACAGCTCATAACAGAACAACAGATTGTTAATGACACATTTCCCCACTATTTAGGTGCATCAAGTCTTGGCCTACAATATGGGAAAACCCTATTCACATTTACTGACCCATACAAAGTTTACACATTATTAAACACATTCAACATCATTTATTTAAAAGTAGTAATTTGTCAAGTTGTGAGGCCTTCAAGGTGAATGTAGACCTCCACTTTAAACTAGCAGAGGTTATCACTATACACACACACACACACACATCACTAACGAGAACTAAAATGCAGACTGAGATTGTACGGCTGGAGAATTAAATGAACGCAAAACTGTCAACATGAATTCCAAGAGCAAGCTATCATACCTTACAGCAGACAACAATGTTATGTGTCAGGAAATGGACTGCATTTACTTGCAAAATTATTTAAAACTTAAATTATCAGCATTTGCCCCTAAAATCCTGGTCTTTCAAGAGTTTCAAGTGCCCTTGAAATCAATTTTATTTCCAAGTACTTTTCAAGGTTTCCAAACACCAGCATGATCCATTTATTACCCATTTCAAAAAATGAAGGCCCTGTGTCTGTGATAATCAGGAGCTAATTTAATGCTGTACAAACAAATCAAAATGAGTATGTCATACATGACCTTTTAGTTTTACATTCACAATTCAGTAAAATAACTTTATCATCAATATATATCAATAGAGTTGGAATGAAAAAATAGTTTATAATTCAAATTTTTATATTATCTAAGTTTTAACTTCTTAATACCAAAAACAAAGATTAAAAAATCTCAACCTTCATTTTCGTGTGTCACATAATGCATCTGAGCTCCTATTTTTCCAATTCAAAATTTTTTAACTTCTAAAATATGCTGCTGCAATTTCCAACCAATTAGAAACAAACTGTTTATAATTATAAGCAAAAATCTACAATTTGAATTTCCTTACTACTAGATTTGCTGAAATACCAATATCTTATCTTTCTCTCAGACTAATCAACTTTTTATGGCTGATGGATGTTTATAACCAACAGAAAGATCATATTCTCCTCCACTTAAATGTTACAATTCTATACTCAGCTGTTAGTTGACAAAAATTGCTTGATTTATACTGATCAGATCTGGTACTCCAAACAGTAACAGAACTTTTTAAACTTATTTATAAGCTTATGCAGAAAGCCAGGTAAAATACATTAGTTTAAGACATTCTATTCTAGTGATTGAAACATTTTTTGTATTTCAAAATGCATATTTGAAAGCCATGTGAACATTTTGTTGGTACCCAAGTTTGTGAGACTCGACAAGACTTAGGGGAGAACATCAAATAATTGTTTCTAACATATATTTTTAATAAAAGTAACTAAAATGTAAAAATTACAAACTTTTTAGCATAGACCAACAAAACATCCAAAATTTCATCATTTCCAGTGTGGTGTGAAACATGACACTCGTATCACTCACTGTTTATGTTAGCTCTATGAAAAATATTGGCTCCTGCTGTGAGTTATTGCTTTTCACTCAAGAATTATTTCTCCAGTGGGTACAACATACAGAAATACATCCATAAAATTAAAATCTTTTTGATCAACACTACAGTGTTGTATTATTCACTTTATTTCATATTTTTCACCTTTTCATTTCATTGTACATTCATGATTTCTGTACAGTTAGTGTTATGGTACAGAAAATGAGAAATAAATATAAAGTTTTACAAAAAAAAAAATTATATTCATTTAGGGTGTTCTCAAAGTTATGCCAATGAAATAAAGTACTTTGTTCTTATCACAAAAACCACCTTTCAACCACTCTGAGACATTACATATTAAATGCTTTGGAAATTCACAGAAAAAGTTTTAGTAGAAATACTTTAATGAAAAATCAGGTTGATGTACAACAAACTTTTAATGTTTACTAAAAAAGCTTACTAAATTTTGTGAAGATTTTGCATGGCTAATTCTTTGAAATTAAAGAAATGGGGAGGAAAAAAATTATTATTAATCTTGTTAATAGTTAGCATTTTGTACAGTAACTTTTTAGAGAAGTTTTTGATTTTTAAAAACTGCTATTCAGAACTCAGTAACTTAAATAATGTTAACATTAAATGCATCAAGGTTTTTCAAGATACAATAGATAGTTGTGCATTTTATAAGAGAGAAAAAAAAGATGCCAATGAAAGAATCTGCATTTATATCTTAAGCTTTCATGATGCGTTAACATAATTTCATTGTAAAATGTTCTACAAACCATTTTTTTTTAAATTAATAATTTAGAAAATACAGAACTTTGAAAACTGTGAAGTCTTACAATGTTCAGTTTTACGTACTCATGTTTTGACTTACGTTCTTGTTGGGCATTTAACAACTGCATTTTGAGCTTGGCAACTTCATTCCTAAGATGCTGTACATGAAGTGTCAAGTTGGCAGCTGTATCACCATTATTAATGTCTCGAGGTGAAGTTGGTGCAGAGACTGGCTGATCAAGTTTTTGTTGAAGCATCCTAAATATACAAATGTAAATGTATAGATATATAAAAAAATATTTTCAATTTTACAATTTAATCCACGAAATGCAAATTAAAGAAAAATCATTCATTCAATTTTGTGTTCACAGAGATGTAGGAGTTCAACTGCAACTGAGTTTTTGTAACTAGCTAAAAATTCATTACAAATCTACTTTTAACTTCACTATAATTACAGCTGAGAATAAAAATTTGCCAAAGTTCAGCTTTTAATGTTCTTATCATAATATGTATTATTGTGTATATCTATATGTATTAATACAGGGGTGCTGTAATTACATATTTTATAGTTCACAAACTGAAACTCAAAGATGTACTTTTATAAGTAAGATCTACTAATAACACACTACAAGTCTTAAGCTTGGGTTTACTTTCATTACAAAACATTATCATCATTCTTTATGAATTAAATAAGACATATTACTCTACCCATTAGCACAAATTTGTTTAAATGTTTACTTGAAAAGCCATTCAACAAATTGCATTAATGATGCCCAGTTTTCAAGGCCATTGCCTTAACAACTGTAACATCTCAGCAAAACTTTGCATATGAGACAGTTTTTTCCAGCACTATGAAAACACACTGTTTAACTTAGGCCTAGTTGTATAGACCTTGCTTAAACCGAAAAAAAGAAAGTGGGCACATCTTATGGGGTAAGATTTCAGTAACAGATAAAGAACAGTAGTCTCATTGCAGAAAAGGACAGTAAGAATACTAAATACATAATCAAAGAGCTGTAAAAGTATTTGAGGAATACTGCACAGCATTAAGGGTGACTATGTATGACATCATCTAAAATCTCGCCAGCATTCTAGGCAAATTTTATGCTTAAGTTAGACTGGTGCTTACTTTATGAGTTTATTGTAATTTGTGTGAAGGTACAATTATTTATGCAATCTGATATTCAGTGATAAATTTATTCAATTAGTGTGGCCCAATCCTTGATTAAGTTAATTATTTCTCATATAAATATTATAATCATATACGAAATGCCCTTCATGTACATGTTATCAGTAGTGACATGTACAGATGAAATAGGCCTAAAAGTTGAAACTGCATGATATCCATTTTTCTCCATCACATACAGATTCTTCACAAAACTTCATATGTACTTTCACATAAGTTATTCATTTTCATTGAAATCGGTTCACATTTTGTTATACTTAAAATGTTAAAAAAAACACTAGCTATAGATTTCTCTAGACCAATTGCAATATGAGTCTTATCGATCATTCTAGAACCCACAAGAAACACACCGCTAGTATATAAATGGTTAACAGGTCACATGACGTATCATTTCTGGATAGTATTTGTTTATGCATGCACTCTGACATTACTTTTTTTTCTTTTGAATATTATTTATTTGTCACTATGGCAACAAGAGGTTGTGTAAATGACCCAAACATATTCTGTTATATTTGTGGTAAAGTTGTTGTAAAGAAACAATGGCAAAACATTACAGAATTTGTCAAAAAAGCATATTATGCGTATTTTGGAATAAACCTTGGGGACCATGACAAATCATGGGCTCTGCACAAAGTTTGCACCATTTGTGTCAAAGAGTTAAGACAATGGACTGAAAGTAAGAAAAAGTCTTTGCCTTTTGGAATTCCAATGGTCTGGCATGAGCCTAGAAACAACGGAGATGACTGCTATTTTGTTCATATAACATGCAAGGACACAACACTCAAAATAAGAAGGAAATTTCTTATCCAAACCTTCAATCTACTGTAAGACCTGTTGCTCATGGACCTGATGTATCTGTACCTACTCCACTGGAGACTCTTGATACAGTTTCATCTGATTCTGAATCTGATGTTAATAAAAATGATGATAAGGATTGTTTTCAACCTGAAACATCTGGTGAACTACAGCTTTTCACACAAGGTGAACTTAATGATTTAGTGAGAGATTTGGGACTTCCAAAGGGATCTTCAGAGATTTTGGGGTCCAGACTTCGTGCTAAGAACTTACTTTCTCCTGGGACATCATTTTACTGGTACAGAAATCATGAGAAAGAGTTTATACCATACTTTTTGCAAGGAGGTTCACTGGTTTATTGCAACAATATTGCTGAATTAATACCAATGCTTGGAGC